AGAATGATTTTTATATTTACTCAATTTAATAGATAAGTCACAACCCATTCCAATAAAGTTTGTGATGGTTTATTGCATGTAAAAAAAAAAGAAGGAATGAAGAACTGTGTATCTTGCTTGAGTTTTTCTGTTCGGTCACCTATACAGTTATGCAAGAAGTTAGGAAAGGTTTTAGTAGAATATATTTCCTGAAATTCTGTTTTAATATTTCTCACAGACTTAAAAAAAAGGGGAAGAAGAAAGGATTTAGAAAAATGAATATTTGGGAAATACTTAAATATTTCTTAACATTTGATGTTTGTTTTATGTTTTTTGTAGAGTAATATTAATATAAATTCACTGTAGCTTTGACGTGGAGCAATTTAATTTTATAAAGTATAATTTTTTTCTGTTTAATAAATAATTATGCATGTTTGTGAGCATATATAATTTGTTTTATGAAAAAAAAGTGAACTTAATGTTTTAATGTGTTTTTTTCCAAGTTGCATATATATATTATGATATACAAAAAATGAGAAATGAATTCACTATTTTTTGTTAGGAGGTCCATGCCCCAAAGATTCAGACAGATAACACACCCCATCTTACAATCACAGGACCCAGAACAGTACCACAATGTGGAGAGTTTTTGTTGATTAGTCATCTTTTCACATCAAAAGGAGGAAAAGTTAACTATAAGTGGGACATCAAACGAGCAGATAATCAATGTGTGGAACCTAGTTTTTTTTATGAAGTTACTGGTAAAATGCTTAGTTGATGTTTTGTAGTCTAGAAATGAAGATTTGCTTATTTTAGATGTTTTTATACTGATTAGTTTTTGATACTGTTATCCATCCAAGAAAATCCTTACTAGTACTTAATGCTATAGCTAGTAAAATATTGTTTGCAATTCTCTAGTGCTGGAATAATCAGTTTTAGGTATACTAGAGTTATGTTGTATTTTAGTAAGTAAACTCAAAACGAAACTATAGAGTTATGTTAATTTTTGTTTTTGCATATTGATAGTTTTATACTTAATTAATATATTTTGCTTTTATACTTCAGAAAATTCTGAAAAAAACTATTTACTGTGTATCTTGCTGTTTTTTTAAGAACAGAAGTTCTTTATTGACTATTACACTTCTTTATTACACCAATACACTTTTTTATTAGTTTTAATTTTTGAATCTTTGCCTGCCCAGATGTGTGAGTGAAAAATACTGAAGATTAGAAGAAAAAATTCAACATTTAATGAAGGAAGTAAATCATGTGAGATATTGTTATAAGCTTAGTGTAGCTATTTTCAATGGAATAAAATTACAAGCTATCTAGATTATTAGCAAACACTGGTGCTGAGTGGACTTGAAATTCATAAGATGGTTGAATTAGTAATATAAAGTAAAATTGAAACTTTATGTAACTATATCTAATTGCTGAAAAAAAAAGACATTAAAACAAAAAATTTAGAAAAAATTAAAAACAATTCAGTTTGGTTGGTTATTTAGCTATGATTGATTGACTGGGAAGACAAGTTTTATTGCAATACTGTTTTATCGCTAATACAAATTGCATAGCCTAGATATTGGAAAAAAGTTGTTGTAGTTTGATTAGATAGTTTATCAGAGAAAAATACAAACTTATTCTCAGAATGGAAAATTCAAAATGATATTTTATTCATTCAGAATTGTCTTTAAAAATCCTGTTAGTCTGTTTGAGGTATCTCAAATTGTAAATTTGTCTGGTGTTTGTAAAATTGGACTTGGGGCTTTTATTTAAAAAAAATTAGATTAGAATTGTCTTGAGCTTACTTGTATGGTTCATTTACAAATTGAGTGGGAAGTATAAAATTTTAAGTTATTTCTAGAGTAGAAT